TTCATTAATGCCATGGGCACACTCTTCCAACACGGTTGACGTGTGCCACTGCTGTCAGCATGCTACATTACTGCAAGACAGATCTGCATGTCTCCCTTTTAGACAAAAAATTATAAGTACAGTGTCAGCACAGTGAAATAGTCTTATGCTAAATATTGTAAAATTGTAAAAATTGTGCCACTCCTTTGTGCAATAAATGGAACTGGAAGTTAGGACAATCACTGGAAAACAAAATTCAACTGCTGTATTTGATACAATAGTAGGAAGTGTGTTAATAAGCAATACCAATATAAATACTGCCATTCAGAGCTCAGACTGCTTATTACTGTTGTGTAAATCTAGAAAGGGTACTCCTGGATGCTGCTACGTTAAATGAATCTCTAATAGCCAACAATAAGGTGCACAAGACAGTTGTGCAAAGGTGTCAAATTTGGTCTCAAGGATGGAGGGGCAAAAAATCAGAACAAAGAGATTTTAACATGATTCCACTTTAAAAAAAAAAAAAAAGGCAGCTAGGTTTGCCACCTTAAATGCACATTTAAATACTTATATTCTCAATAGCTTTTTGAATTGTAACACTCTGTGCCTGTTCTGTAGAAAAGTATACGGATACGTTTTTTTGCTGTATTTTTTTCTTAAAAAAAGCTCTGGGAAGCTTGAAATTTGGTTTCCTTGCCTTCCAGTCCCATCCTTATCCATTTGGCAAGCACAGTCCACAGCTTCTCATTTAGGACGCTGTGAGAAAAGCTTACAATTCCCATTAGTAGGGGGGAGTAAGCTGTAACATGTTTGAAAACACAGATCCTGCTTGTCAGGCAAATGTCTTTTGATAGAAGCTCTCATGTCCACCTCTTCAACCCCCAAAGAATAAAACACACTGTTTCTACTGATCTTATTTTTAGAACCTCTGCTGTATGCATGTGAGAAGACGAACAGGGCTGGCTGTGTGTGTGTTGCAACTATCTTCCACGTGCTCTGGAGGCCTGGCTATGCATGGGGCATACACAGCACATGTTTTGGAAGGACTTACAGGGTCATCAAGCAGTGTAAAAGGTACAGACAGGGTGGCCTAGCCAGGTACAAACCTGCCTTCCTCCTCTATTTAACAGGTGTATCAGCCTTTTCTTGGTCCTCTGGGGTTTTGTTTTCTGATTCTTTTCAGTCCTAAATTGAGAGTTTATTTCAGAGTTTGAGAGAGTCATGTTAGGAATTTTGTGTGTTGGCATGATAGTTTAGTGACAAAATAAAGGTACAGGTTAGCATTTCAGAAACAGAATTGTTGAACTTTGTGAGGTACTAGTGTTTTGTGGCGTTAGGGGTTCTTTTTGTGTGAAGCCATTCACAGGCCATCACATGCAAATAAGAGTTCATGGTCACCTTGGCTGTACATTTTATCGGTTGGTCTTGGTATGAATAAGGAAGGAATTTAAAAAAAAAAAAAAATCAAGTTTTATTCCTATAAGAATTCATGAAGCCCATTTTTCTCCATCGGCTAACAATTGCTTACAGTTGACTTGCTTAGAAAATCACATAGAGAAATATTCTAGTGGTAGAGTATTCAGGAGCAGTTGACAGAGAGTCAAATATGAGTGTTTTCCACAGTAGTTGGAAAGTATAGTGTTCACAACACCAAGCCTGTCAGAGTTCAGGAGCATCTGGATGACACTTTTAATCATATGGTTTAGTTTTAGGTAGTCGTGCAAGGAGCAGGGAGTTGGACTCTACGATCCTTATGGGTCCCTTCCAACTTGAGCTATTCTGTGATTCTGTTTGGTCTTTTTTGGTCCTTCATGTTAGTTTTGTTTTCTCACACTCTTTGCATTACTAAACCTTCTGCCATTTTAAAGCCCTAACAGTGTTCAGCCTTCTCAGCTGTAGACCACAGCTGTATTTCCTCTTCTCATACGGGGAGAAAGGCACACCCCCAATTCCCTTCATGTCTGCACAACTGGACCTGCTTTGCACATACAATAAAATCTACTTGTGTTCAATAGCTCCCCTTTCTTGAGCTTGTATTATATAAGTCTTTTGTTTACTTGAAAGAGGAACCCAGGGACCACATCTTTCTGTGTCTTCCTGAGTCTGGGATTCAGGCTAGATATTGTTCCAGTTCCAGGTGCCCTCGTTGCTGGGGAGCCTGTGGCTTTATCCTCTGTGCCCAGAGGAGGGAGAATGGCTGAAAGGGAGCAACAGGCTAGACAAAGCTTGAAATATAAAATGCTGCCGGGATCAAATGGGACTTAAAATAGGGTTGATCACAATTACATGTGTACAAGGCCAATCTGTCACCATGTTTATTTAATCAAGGTCACATAGAGATTTTAATTAAAATAGTGAGCTCATAATATCAGGCTGGTCATCTGTAACTGACAAGTGTGTTTAGTTATAAAAGGGTAAAAAATGGTCCTTATTTATGTGCTAGTTTTGCTACATAATGGGTAACTTGTTTAGATCACTTGCAGTAATTTGGCATGTAGTGATATGAAAAAAATTGCTACTTGTCTAGTTGGTGCCTGTAGAAAAGAGCCCATTATTTTCAGTGAGGTGGGATTGAGCCTTGAATAACTACAATAATGGCTGCTTATCTTAGTTTCTTCAATTCAGAAGATGGGAGCAACAGTTTAAACTACTAATTTTCTAATAATCTGCAGCACCTTTTTTTAAAATGGAACTTAAAAAGGGGGAAATCAACAGGAAAGAGAAAGCCACCATCACTTTTTTTTTGAGGGTGGAGGGCAATTTAGATTTGGCCTAAAATAGAAAATAAAGTAATGCTTCTGTCTTCTGAATTTAAATCAGTTTGGCAATAGTATTTTTTGAGCTTGCTAGATGAGACTTTCATGCCTGTTTAGCAGGACAAACTGCTCTGTTAGTTAGCATCAGTCCCATAAATCTCTTCTAACTTGCAATCAAATCCCAAAGTGACCAGGATCATGTTGCTACTGAAGACTACAGCCCAGGAGAATGGAGTTCAGTATTTCATTTGTCTTATGTTCACCTATGATGTGACTTGTAAGATGTCATTTTCGCATTGGCAATAAAACCCACTAAGTCTATCTTTTAATTGTCTTGCACCAAGAAACAAGTAATAAACTGTTTGTAATACTGTTTGTAATTTATAATAATTTGATTTTTAATGAAAATGTATCTGCATGCATTTCGTAAAAACAAATTTATTGGAGAAATAACCTTACTAAGTCAAAACGTAATCAGCCTGACATTTCATGTCAGAAAAATACTCTGGCAGGAATTAGGGGAACAGTGCAAAATAAAAGCAGAAACCAAACATTCGACAAAAAACTTAGTTTGTGACACTAGTTTTTGTTCATGTTGGACACCTGCTACAATTACAATTCAGATTGCCTTTTTTATTTGAGGTACAATGCACAGCTCCTGCAGTCAGTCTCAAGGAGATAGAGTGGCTCGTTGTTATTAGTTAGTGAGAGGAAATGAAATTAAGTAACATTTCAATTGATTGTTTTGTATAATAATGGTTTCTGTGCGTTTGTTTCTCTACACAGAGCAGATGGTAACCTGTAAGACTTCTCCAGAGGGAAAAGTCCCATCTTCCTCCCATCATGCAGTGCTTAAACTCCTTTCTTCCACATTTCTTCCAGTTCTCTGGGTTCTTTGAGGAATCACCTTTAAGAAGGGTTTAGAATAACTCCCACAGAACTCTAAAATTAATGTCATGCTGTAACATTTATAGGTTTCTTTTTCTGAGGCAGAGATGTCCTTTTTGTCACCTTATTTTCACAAGAGAATAGAGTTTGTGTCCTCTGGGCTGAGGGCAAACCACATTAGAGTGTGACAGAGAGAAAGCTAGATGAGATTAAAGAAACTGCTCATAATCTTGCACAGTTCAGCTCAGGTTTTCAAAACCACAAGGCATACGATATTCATGCAGTTTCCAATATGCAAGTGTTATTTATACACTGACACAGTGGGGAAAAAAAAATAAAAATCAGGCAGGCAGCCAGAGCCTTGTAGAAGCTTTTTTTTTTTTTCAGCTTTCATCAAAGGGTGCTGCTGAGATGTCTTTTATTGGTTTGCTTTTCTTTTTATCACAGAGGTGATATTCAGCAGCCAAGTTCCTGCCTCCTCATGATGCTTTTCATACATCTAGGCACTCTTCAAGTGTCATGAAGACTTTGCTTGAGTACCTGTTCTCATGAAGTTAAGCAAACTTTGCAATTGAACGTGACAGAAGGTGTTGATTCACTGTTGCCTTAGAGTTTTTCTTAGTTCTGAGCTACCAAGAACCCCAGTTAGAGGCAGTTCTAGCAGCATCCTGACTACTGATAGCACTGACCATGGGAAAATCATTAGTCTTTGGATTTTCTAATATTTCATCAGGCATACAGCCAGTGCTTTGATTAAAAAATATATCCTATTTTTAACTTTTATTTTGCTTGGTAAAATCACAGAATGAGCAAGTAATTTGAGTTTTCCACTCATTGCTAATTGTGTCATGTTAAGCATTACACTTTGGTTGAACCACAATGCCATGATCAACAATGGTGATACTCTGCCATGTTGGCTCACAGGTGCTGGAGCCTTTTTATACATGGTATATGCTAAGTGCACTCAGTCTTCTTTATTTAAAACTTCCTTCTCCCCTCACCCTCCAGTATTATATGGAGTGCTGTTGGTCATATGCTTAAAGGAGGGAATAAGTATAAACCTTCTGATGTTTTAAAAGTGACTTTTAAGTTTTGTTTTAAACAGAAGTTGCTTTGTGGTTACTGCATTTTTGCAGGTGTTTCTGAATTGGCAATATTAACCCCAGTGTAAGGGGACTGAATTTCTAGCTCAAAAAATAGAAGCCAAATTCTTTTCAGTAACAGATTAAATTCTTATGAAAGATTTTGTAAATGACAGGAGGAACTATGCCTGTGTTACAAAAGATTTGGGGGCAGCCTTGCAATGCAGATACATTGTGGAAATTTAATCCATTTGACAAAGTTGTTTCAGGACTTATGATTTCTTTTTGTCTACAGAACCCCCAACTCCTATCGCCCCTCCTGAGCTGCTGGCTGTCGGAGCCACGTACCTGTGGATCAAACCCAACGCCAACTCCATCATTGGAGATGGGCCCATCATATTGAAGGAGGTGGAGTATCGGACGACCACTGGGAACTGGGCAGAAACACACATTGTAGACTCTCCTAATTACAAACTGTGGCATTTGGATCCTGATGTGGAGTATGAGATCAGAGTGCTGCTCACTCGCCCTGGAGAAGGAGGCACAGGGCCCCCTGGACCACCGCTCACGACAAGAACCAAATGTGCAGGTAGGGTTTCTGCTGCTTTATAATACAGCCCAGGTACCTTGGTTCACTCGCTAACATGGTCCTAGTAGATGTGCTTTGTCAGTGATCTGAACTGACAGTATGATTTTTGATATAGCCTGGAATATTTTACTTTTTATTCCATAGGCAAGTGTTTAAGAAACTGTTGTTCTTATGCATGTAGTGTATTTGCCAAACTTTATGCCACAGTGTGGCTGCTTTCTGTTGAAATGGGCAAGAATTTTCCAACCGATTCTCCAGTAGATAAATTGTTCTTAAGACTAGTCTGTTATAAAATTTTCACCCTATAAGTGCATAACAAAATATATGTTGTTCTCGGGTAATGGTTCAGCATAGGTTATTAAAAAACAGTTCTATCAATTTATGAGTGCAGGGTGGTGTATCAGGAAGCATTTAGTTTTTAAAATACAGTTTTGTATTCCATTAGATAGAACTGATTCTTTTCCTCATTTCTGACAAAGAAACCTGTTCAAACACTTTGCAGTGTCTTCCCTTTGTGTTTCGTATTGGAACAGATCAATTTTGATCCAGGGACAGGAAAAGTTTATCTTATTTCTAAGCCATATTTGCCTTCCCGGGAAAAACTAAAGGATCATGTTCCTCATGTTTCAGATATATTGGGTATTCATTCTGTTTTCATACATTAATTATTAGCCATTAAGGGGAATCAAGCTCTGTGCCTGGCAAGGGGATGAACAAAGCAGGTTTCTACCTATCAGGTTTTTTCCACCACACAACTGTCTTCTCAAGGCTTGCATTTTTGTAATTTTTGCAAGGTCCTTACTGTGGTGGGAACAAAGTGGAGAGACTAAGAGTCTGCTCTCCTTTTTCTACAACCTCTCTTCCCTCCCCACAAATTAATGATTTACAGCAAGTGGATTTACGTAGTGGAAAGGTTATACAAAAGCATTCTGGTTTCCATTACTCTTTCTGACCAAATAGCAAGTCTGAAGTGTGAGGAATGCATCAGGAAGAGCCAGATGCCTTCCTGGGATGGGATTAAGCAGTGTTAGCATTCCTCACCCACTGTCACATCATGAGCATCCCCAGCATCATCCTCTTCCTCTACCGGAGAGGAAGCCTGGCAAGTTGAGTATGCTGGGCGGGGTGCGGGGAGCACACATCCTTACTGCCTTGCCTTCATTATATGGGTTATAAAGCAGTGAACATTTAATGTCTCTTTTAGAAGAATTCATTAAAAAAAAAATAAATCTGAGCATGATGATCTGGCATGGAGGTGTTTGCTATATTCAGCACCTGTCCACAGGCAGAAGACAGCTGTTTGGAGGCCTTTATGCAGCTGGGTGGAAAGCGTGAAGTGACACGGATGGTGTCCTGGCCTATTTGGGAGGTTGGCACATGCTCTGCTACTCCTCTTTTGGCTGTCTCCTCCTTCAGTAGAGTGGTCAAATTCTCTAACCCTCAGCGGAAATAACTAGGCCTGGGACAGACTATGCATTTGCATGTGGAAATGTGACATGCTGAGATTTAGTCTGTAGTTTATGCATTGTGACTTTGCAGGCCCACTCTCTGCAGCAGCCAAACTTGCAAACTTTTCTGTACTACCTGTAAAGAATGCTTGCTTTAGTTTAATTCAGGGGTCGGAAAAAAAAAAAAAAAAAAAGATGTTGGCTTTGTGCTTGATGATGTCTTGTACTGGATCCCAAATTGCTGAGTTTCATCACTTAGCAGAGGTATTGACTGATGTCATGAAGGATGACGTAGATAATTTGTTCAAATTCGCTAAGCTGAGAAACTCATTATTTTCTGTACCAATTTACTAATGAAAATCTAACTGGAGAAGGCCATTCTGTTAATGTTAGTTGTCATACCAAGCTTGTTGAGATTGATGGTGATGGCATTTATGTTTTGTTTAGGGCACTGGGTAGGAGAAATTATAATGATCTTGATCTGACTGAGCATGGACTGAAAGGAAGGGAGAGACTTTACTCAATATATAAAGCTGTACAACTTCCACAAAATGCTAACTGAAATGACAGATAAGAAAATGCAACTTATTATTCCAATTTCCATGTGTTGTGGAACTCCTTCAAAATACCCTATTTCGAGGATAATTACACAAAACTTCCACAGTAAAGATTTTCAAAAATGTGCTGAACCAAGAAAACAGCACTATTTCCTTGATTTTTCTTAAAATACATAATGAATGACATCAATGAAAATTGAGGGTTTTTTTAAATACTTGAGGGATGAGTGATGCTGCCTTTTTCAAGTGAATTTTCAGGGACTTTTCTTTGTCATTACTTTTTCTTAGCAAGAGGGAAATAGCAAATTCTTACACATTTGTATACAATCAGTAGATGACTGGAGTAGTCTTACTCTTCTGGACTGTCTAGTGTTGGTACTGTGTTTATTAAGCCCTTTAATAAAATAACAAAATTGACTGCAGAAGTAATAGTAGAGAGTATCACTTATACTGGAGAAGAAGTATTTGGTTATTTAAATTGCAAGAAATCAGTGTAGCCATAAACAGAAGGTATCTGCAACCTTCCAACAGTGAGAAGCCAATGTCCCTTTTACTAAATAATCTTCTTAATGTCTTTTTGCATAGACATTGTGTACTTGTGTGATAGGAAGTCTGAATAATTGCTGTCATAGTCTTCAATTTAGACACACCTTGCAATGAGATTCTTATTTTTTATTTTCATTTCTAAATTAGAACAGGATTTGGGAAGGATCATGCTTTTCTTCCTCTTCAGATCAAGGGACAGAAGATCATTTACAAAGTTGAAGTTGTCTGCTGTGAGTTTCTTGACCGTTAGCCTTGTATCAGAGCAAAACCATGACCAGAACAGCTCAGCATGAGCTTAGAAAGTCATTATAGCATGACACAACCCTTATCAAGATCGTTCATGATTTTCAGATTTTTGATCAAAGTGAATAGAAGTTGTTTACATGGAATTTAAAAACTTTTCCATTATATGAAACCCATGAAAACTAATTATGAAAGGTCTTGCTCTAAATGAGCACAAAGAAGTTTAATAAAACTGGATAATATCTTATCTAAATTTCTATAAACAGTATGTGCCTGGGCATCTGTTATCCCACTGGTGATGCTTTTGGTTTCCTACAGGACAGCATTACAAAACTTCATTTATATTTGATCTTTAGAAATGATACTGAAAATTAAGTCCCAGTTTGCCTCTTTGAAGGAAAAGCCAACTGCCAGAAAATATGACAATCCCTGCCTTTGTAAATGAATGATTTTTCTGTTGTTTTTGTTCTGGGTTTTGTGCTGTTGTTTGGCTTGGTTGTTTTGTTTTTGGTTTTTTTTTTTTTTTTTTTCATAGACTCTGATAGGTCATGACTTGGGACAGGAGGTTAAATGACCTTGTGGCATCACACAGTAAACTGTCAGCCAGAGGGAAGAGTTGCTCAGCAAGGAATGGGGAAAAGAGAAAGGCTGCTTAAGGTTAAGACCAGACACAGGGGTGAGTGGTGGTTAAAAGAAAGGAAAATATAAAATACTATTTTTTACCCCCAGAATAATAGGTTGGGGGAGATAACGGGATCAGAATAGTATATTTGAACGCAGTTCCCTGTAGTGTTTAATTGTTCAGCACTGGTCTTCTGAATGTGGGTTTTTTGTGTTTTGTTTGTTTGTTTGTTTGATTGTTTGTTTGGTTTGTTTGTTTGTGGTTGTTTTTTTTGTTTTTTTGTTTTTTTTTTTCAGCCATACACAGAGCTCTTTAAAATCCTTGTTTCGTGGACTTAATTCAAAAGTGTGTGCTTTGGAAGTGTGATTTGGAAACCTTGGGGCTTGTTTTCTTCTCTGTGCTTATTTACTATTACCCTGCATTTTTTTCTTTCTCCAGTTGCCACAGAAAGGGAGAATAGGGGAGAAGTCCTTTTTTCCTCTGGAAAGAGAAGGGGAAGACCTTGAAAATAAGGTTGGGGGGGGTGTGTGTGTGGGGAATCTCATCTGAAAAGTGTTTGCCTTCTTGTGGGATGAACTCACATGAAAAGCAAGGCCAAAGAGTAACATTAAAATGAATATTAATAAAGGGACAGACATAAGACTTTCTTTAAAAATAATATTTAGACCTGGCTAAAATACTATCTGGAAAAGCTGTGTTGAACATTAGCTTCTTTGCCTTTTTGGATGAAGACAAAAGGTGGCTCATCAGATGAAGAGGGTTTTGTGGCCCTAAGGCTTTGAAGCAGGAAACTTTCCAGCCTGACAGGTGAACTTCTTGATAAAGAACAGGAGAAAAGTCCTGAGAAACCCCATAACACAACAGCACACCACCACTTCCTTCCCCCCATGGGTGTGGCAATGATTCATCATCAAACAAGTTTATGATAAAATAGGAGGTTTCTCCTTGTGAAAAAATTCACATGGATCACATGCAACATATCTCTTAAGATAAACAGCTAGTGACTGTGTTATTCAGCAGGAGGATGCAATTTAGCTCCTTGAGAAAGGAGCAGTTGTCAAGATCAATACTCAATTTTTGTTGTTGGCCTAGGGAAATAAAAGTTAATCTTGAACGATGTTGCTGAATACAATACCCCTTTTAAAAATACTCAGGATAAAGTAGCTGATATAAATGCAAATAATCTGTACGTTCAGAGTGTCATATGGTATTGAAAAGTAATTGGAAAACTTTTTCCTTTAGTTATTATTAGAAGGTACTTTGTTGCCATGAAATCTTGGGAAGTTTAGAAGTAGTAAGCAGCTTTTGCCATTTTCTTGTCATTTTAAGACTACAGTTTCATATTTTATAGAAATGTTTTTGTCTGTTGCTCTGTTACAAATGTTAGAAAAAGGAGGTGGTTGTGTACTGTTATGAAATGCACAAACTGAACAACCAGAAGGTTACTTTGTTGTGCACTGAGTTAGTATGAGTTGTTACAACAGGTTCAAAAATATTTCTTTCTGCTTTAATTTTAAGGTGATAGCTCCTGTTAAATAGGAAACATTCACATGTTCATGTTGAAAAATAAGATTCAGGGTTGCT